AGGAGGAGGAGGAGGAGGAGGAGGAGGAGGAGGAGGGGGAGGAGGAAAGAAAGCCAGAAGAAAATGAAATGGCATGTTAAAAGGACTCAAAGAAAAAAAAATCAATCAACCTGAAATATATTTTAAAGTAATTTTAAGAATTCTAAACATGTTTCTGACAATCCAAAGTTTAAAAAAATGCTCACTAGCAAGTTTATACTCTAAGAAATGATAAAGAAAAAATGATATCAAACAAAACTTTGAATTTATACAAAGAAATAAAAAGCATCAAAAATGGCCCAAATATGTAATCTACTATAAAAGTCTTTCTTGTATTGGATTTTTTTCTAAAAGTGATAGAATTCTAATAAAATTTGTGGTTTGATTCACAGTATCATGCAAGTGTTTCTGGTCTTGAAAATTGTACTAAATCATGTATTATACTAACTTTAGAAAAAGCGGAGAAAAGGACAGCCAGGAAATCTTTGTACTATTTTGCAATATTTCTGTAATTCCAAACTTAGTTGAAAATAAAATTTAAGCAAAAAGATAGATTTACTCTTTAAATAAAAATGCAATGAGATATTTTGTAGAGTTTATAGTATATACAGAATTAAATTATCCAACAATAACATGAAAAACAGGAGAAGAAAATGGTCTGTGATAATGAAAAAAAAATCTTATACTTTATGTAAGGATGTAAAATTGTTTTAAAGTAAGAGAAACTAAAAAAATATATTTTAAATCCTCAAGCAATTCTATATAAAAAATTAAAAATAAAACATAAAGCAAGAGTGATAATCCAATAGTAAAGGTAACATGAAACATAAAAATACAATTAAAAAATGCAATTCAATTAGTACAAAATAGAATTCAGAGAAAAAGGAAAATAACAGAAGGGGAAAATAGGAGGCAAATAATAAGATAGTGGATCTAAACTCAATCAATTGCACTTAATATAAGTTTCAACACTCCAAATACATAGAATGTTCTATCAGAGGGAGAGATGAATAGACAGGTATTAGTATTAGCATATTAGTATTTTAGAGTGGGTAGTGGGTTTTCTACATATACATATACAAAGGTATATTTACACACATATAATCACATATTTATTTCAGAGTATAGATATAAAATCCATTAGCCTCTATAAATACAAAGACATAGTTTAAAAGTTCAAGGACTCAAAGCATGTAACATGCAGGAAACAGCTGGATTAGCTATATTACTATCAGACAAAATAAACTTCAGATCAAGAAATATTTCTAGTGATAAATATAGACATTGTAAAAAACAAAGGTGTCATCTCCTTTGGAAAACATCAATCCTAAATGTATATAACTCAAACAGCTTTGAAATACCCAAGGGAAATTCAGAGAGAACTCATTGAAAGGAGAAATAGACAAGGGTACAAATGTTTCTGAAGATTTCAAGGATCCTTTCTCGGTATTGATAGAACAAGTTGACAGGCAATCAGAAGGATATAGAAAACAAACAACAGGATCCAACCTGACCTTTTTGATATACTCTGACAAGCAACAGCAGAATACACATTCTTACCAAGTATACAAGCAATATTCACCAGGACCAAACATAATCTTGGTCATAAAACAAGTATTAAAAATGTAAAAGGCAGTTGGGAAGACTAAGGGAATAGCTCAAAGTCAGCCTCAGTAACTTAGCAAGTCCCTAAGCAAAATAAAAAATAAAAAATAAAGGGCTGGCATGTGGCTTAGTGGCTAAGCACTCCTGGGTTCAATTCCCAGTTTTTTAAAAAAAAAAAAATGTTAAAAGACTGAAATTCTAAAAAATATATTCTCTGGTACAAGCGTAATTAAATTAGAAAACAACAAGAAGTTCTTTTTTTGTCTCATTACACAGGTATATTAAGATTCACCATTGGCATTCCATGGTTGTCGAAATATCTACATCTGATTTTCTTTCTTCAAATATGTGGTAGATACTGGAATTTCACTTGTTCAAATCTGCATCAATCATCTTTTGTGAATGTCCTTACACTGGCTGTGTATAGCACTGACAGGTATGTCACTTTAGTTTGTAATCAATGTTAGACAAGCTCTAAAATTCCATGCCAGTCAGAGGAAGCTAATTCAACAGGGGGTAGCATTCAAGAGTGGGAAGATAGGTTCTTCTTTCACACAAAGACCTTTGTTTCTTCAAGATAGCTCTGGAAGAAGTTCCAGCATTTGGTCAACACTGTAAGCTTTAGTTTCTGTGAGTTAGAAGCTATAGTATTTTTCTGAGACAAAAACTAGTTCTTCAATGAGGGTGTTTATTTCTCCTTGCTGCTAATAATCTTACTTTTATATTTCTCAAAACTGGTTTCCTAGAGGTCCCTAAATTATGTAAACTATATTGTAACCTGAAATAAATTCCTGTCTGTTTAACTTTTCAGTGAATTTTAACCTATACATAGAGCTCTAGACATTCTTTAGGGGCTTCCCTTCCTATTATCACGGAGAATTTCAAACCTGCATTTCTGTTTACAAGGTGAATACAGCCTCCCATAATGACTATTTCAGTCTTCCCTTAGCTCCTGGGAATTTTTCAGTGACTCTTCCTCCTGTTTCTGCTTGGGTCACCTATTCACATGGAGAAGATCTGAGACAGGAATTTTTTCCTGATTTCTAAGATTAGGAATTTCTCATCTAATCTATTTTTGTTCCTTAATGAAGATTTGGAAAAACTTCACAATGATCAAATTATAGGAGTTCAAGTTGAACAAATGTAACCAGTAATTTTTTTTTTATACAGTCAGAAAAAAGAACTCAAGTCTCAGCCTGACATTTTTATATTTCTCGGTTATGTTTGTAACATCTGTCCTCTTGTAGTGGCACCCCCTTTCTCCACAGAAAAGTCTTAACTGGGCTTCTTTTTTTTTTTAATTTATTTATTTTTTTTATTGTTG